GCATATGACTCATAGGGTTCATATATTCTGGATCCGAGCGAAAACTGGGTGACAATGACAGGGTTCAGGCTTGCGCTTAGTGGAGAGTTCAGCGTTCGACAGCCGAGGGTTAGAGCTCTGGTGCTTCTTGTTCAGTGTTTAGGACCAGTGTTGGAGAGTTTAGGGTGTTCAAAAACTCTTCACAGAGGGGCTTGAAGAGTAGACGGGCATATATTGGAGGATATACAACGGGAGCTTATTGCTGAACCTCGTCATACCTCAACATGACAGACCACTCAAGCAGCAACTCCTTTGCAGGTGCCTTCTGCTGTGGGCCCCCGCCGGTCATACTGCCAGTGAGATTGACCCAGTCGCCAGTGGAAATTTCATAAGAGTACCTTTGCAGGCATGTTTCGTGTCACCACGAACGAAAGGTTAAGAAGCTCGTGTATGGTACCATGATGGCCAGTTGGCCATTCCTTCGGGCTGACAAGTCTTTGGTGGTTGCTGTCCGAAGAAGTTTCTGGCATGGCGGGCACAAGAAGATAACGCGATTAGAAGCAGATTGTGCGATGATATGCTATGCTTCTGTAGGTCTAAAGAAATATTACTCCTACATCTATGTTGTGTTTTGAACTTTGGTCTGAGGATTCCAGTCGGCGTTTTCGCAGGCTCAGGCTTCTTGGGCTGGGCGGTAGGGTGGTAGGGCACTGCCTAGATTGGGGCTTAGGGTCAGGGCTTACGTACGATCCCCCAGCATGCTAGCGTTCACGCGGGCTTGAGCTCAGTGGCGCACTGTAAGCCCAGAACTATACAATCTAAGATGTCAGCTGCCTGGTGTGAAAGGCTTGCTTGTAACCTTATGATGACAGCTGCAGTCCAGGCCAGGTTTTGAAGGTAAGCGTGTCAGGCTTTCGACAAATGCAATCTTCTGGCACCGAGATGGGGAAGTGTTGCCAGAGCTTGCGTGAACTGCATGGTATGCCCAAGCCATCAAGATCAACAGCGTAGTCGTCACGACTTCAACAACCCCGAGACACTGTTAGGTAAAGGAAAAACAGTTAAATCCTCGAGGCATCTATTCCTAAATCCAACACCCTGATCCCGGAGCCTGAAGCCCTAAATTTACGAAGAGAGCCGAAATGGAGAGAAGGCACAGGTCGTGGCTGGCTCCCCAAAGCTGGAGCCCACCGTGGAGATAAATCTTATCCTGCGGGGGCTTAGGATTCAGGGGGAGGGAAATCTTTTTCTGCAGCGCTTCGGATTTGTGTATGAGGCTGCAGGCTTCTGACTGCGATCGTGGCACTGATGCGATTGTGATGCCGTAATTTCTTGGTGGGCTTGGGTTCTGAACACTCATGTCCCTAGACCCAACACTCTGGACCATCTTCGAACAAAGAAGTGAATGGCAGTGAATGGCTTTGCTGTTACTACATAGCACTAGATTTCCTAGCAGCGTTATTGGCTTCAGTCCGACTTCCCGTGCAACGAGTACTGCCACGACAAAGACGACGACTGCTGCCACTACTGATATGGGCACGACCACAACTGCAATGCGGGTTTGAAATTCGGACCACTGCCGAATACCCATGCCTACCATAGCCAAGGGCACCCTGACTCCTTAAACCCTCAAGCCTGATCTCTGAGGCCCGATGCTCAGACCCTAACCATGCAGCCTACAGCCTCATGATTCCGAATACGACTTGGTCCCCATCTTCGCCGAGTGGCGCTTCCGTCATAAGCCATGCCAGCCCCTAGCCTGCCGAAGAGGGTAATAATAATATACGGGCCGTAATGGTTAAGAATCGGGTTTTGGGGCCCATTATACTAAAATATAATAAGGAAATAATCGGGAACCCCCAGAATACTATAGGTAATTATTAAGGCCTCTGCAGTATGGCTTTGGCGGCCATGCGGATAAGTCTTAGAAGCTAGGCTTCGGGGCCTCATCAGCTTAAGGCTAATAGGGCTTCCAAGTTGTTAGGCTTCAGGAATAAGGTAGGCTGGATGAATGTGAGGTCCTGGGCTCTGCTATTTTGAGGTTTGGCGCAAGCTTCTGCTCTCTTCGGGGTTTCTATTTCGGAAAGTAAGCTTGACACTCATTCACAGTTGGCTGCCAGGATTTTGGGGTTTAGAAATAAAGGCCTCGAAACTTCAAGCCTTACACCCAAGCGGATCCCAAGCCCTGAACCCTCAATCGTCCTTGATCATTAAGCTGGCACCCTGCCCTAGACACTACTAAACCATAAACCCTACTTACACCCCGGCCTGGTTGGTGGCTTGTCGGCATCAGAGCCGGTGAGGTCCTCCCAGGACCTTCCCGAAACCTGAAAGGTTCAGGTTGCAAGTTTGAGGCTTCGGAAACGGTTTAAGTGTATAAGTTTAAGGGTTTATGGTTCAGACTTCATAAGGATTTAGGGGCAGAGGTTTAGGATTTAGAGGACTTCCCCAAACGGTAGATCCATGAACCTTTGTTCCCAAATACAAGCTTAAACCCTAACACACAAAATCCCCACAACCCACATGTCCGAAGGCTACTCTCAGAGGGCACATGCCACCGCGGCGCGATGGCAATTCAGTTTCGGCGAAGTGTTCAGCGTGGCTTGAGTTTTGGATTTATCGAGGTTCAACAGTGAAGCAATGATGAAGATGCCCTCTAGGTTGCACTGGACCCCATGAGGCTTGTAGCCCTACTAAGGTGCTGTTTGAGGCATGAAACATCAGCCTGCAAGCTGGAACACCTCTCCGCAACCTGGCCCAAACCCTTGGACTCTAAATCCCTGCAGCCAAAACATGAGAAAGGCACCGAGAATGCGAACATGTCATCTTTGGTGAGGGAGCTGTTGCAGCCTCGGTCTTCACATTGGACTTGCGGTTCCCAGACTCCCGGGTTTCGAGATTAGGGTCTTTGTTGATGTGGGGGGTATAGGCCTGGCGATTTGAGGGTCGGTTAGTTGTTGCACATGTGCATACGTGTCCATGCGTGTGTATATATATATATATATAGTATACATATATAATACATATGGCTGTATGTAGTTGTGCAACCTGTTCTTACTTGCATGTATACACATGTCTCGGCATACACCCACTTTAGATTCAAAATCTGTAAATGAACGAGTGCAAAAACATGTTACACATAAGTATACATACACACACACACACACATATATATATATATACAGAAGAGGAGGCTGTGGGGCCTGCGTTTTGGCAACCCACTATTTTTAGTGATTTTGTGTGTTTCGAGTGGTTTTGTATGTTTCGAGTGATTGCACGTGAGGTTCTCTGAACTGTGTACTAGTTTTGTGCGTGTGTACGTGTATGTTGTTGCTTTGGATGGTTTACATCAAGTATGAGTTGTTGTGCAACACGAGGTCTGTTTATAAACACCTGGTTTGTTTATAAACATGTCGTGTCGTCACAATCATACAATCATGTGCCTCCTCTTCAGAAATAATATTGTATATGATATGTTTATAAACAGCTAGCCTGCCAGACATGTAGATATGTATGTGTTTATAAAGACCGGTCTGAGGGGAGGGGGGGGGTGGGGGGAAGGGGGAAGGTTCAGCGCATGTCCAACACTTATCACCCCCCCCCCCTCCCCTCTCCTCCAAAAACAAAAGCAACGCCGCCCTGCCCAGGTATGGCGCTGAGCTGAAGGGCGGCCATCGGCCGTCACTGCGTGGGTAAATAAATAGTTGATATGTGTGTATATATATATATTATAATAGCAATCACTTTGTTTACGAGCGTGTAGAGACAAGCACGTAGATCTTCTGTTGAATATAATAATGCACCTCGGCTGCAATTGGACTATCCTATACTACGACTACTCTTTTTTTTGTAATGCTCATGTTGCGGTTCTCATGATCATGATGACGTCAGCTTCACAAAACTGTTGATGCAGCATTCCGGATTAAAGTGTGTTTAGCTGCATTTCGCAGTTTAGCGGGTAGAGAAGCATGAAGCGGTCGTCGGCTGTGGCGGGTTTCGTTGAGTTCGAGAACGGTGTGTGTAAGCTCCAACTCACCAGCGTCAACCTCGCTACAACTGCTTCTTCCTCTTCCACGCCGTCGCCTTCACCGAACACTTCCGGAATGCCGTCGATCCAGAACATCATGTCGCAGATTGCTTCGCCGACGTCAAATGTACATGCATCGAAGCGAGCTCTCTCCAGTCGTCAGGTCCAATCTCACATCTGCTACATCCAACGGTCCCTCAACTTGACCACGGGCATGAAGGGCGAATGGACCCCACAGGCCTTGGAGATGCTCAACAAGTGGTTGTCGTCACCGAAGAAGGGCACCGGCACCAAAGCAGCCCTGGCCATCTTGGACGGTGTTGTAAACGACAAGCCGGACACAGAGGAGGCAAAATCCAAGAACTCGCTCGCGGAGAACCCCAACTTGGAGATAGAGGTCAAAGAGGCAAAGGACGCCGAGGACTTGCTCACAGAGAACGCCGACTTGGAGGTAGCCAAAGACGCAAAGGATGAGGACCCCCACTTGGAACCAAAGGAGACAGAGAACACCCAGGACACGTAGGCAGAGAACGCGGTGGACACCAAGGAGCAGGATGCCGACTCAGACTCGGATTCCTCATACTCGAGTTCTTCATCTTCTTCTTGGACATTGCCTACGGATTGGGGCACATGGCCCGCAGAATGGCATGACGTCTGGCAAGAGAGCCTTTTCCTCCTCGAAGAATCGGCAAAGGAGAGCCAGGAGAAAGCGGACATCGCCATGGGTCTGTTAAAGGCTGTGCACCGTGCCAAACTCCGATGGGACCAGGTCGAGTGAAGTGAGTGTAAGCATAGTCGACTCCTTGCAGTAGCGCCGGCGCCATTGCACAATTTGGGAAAAGCATCAAACTTGAAGTCAGTTGAATGAATCCCCAAACATGTTTATAAACACGGTCTTGTTTATAAACTCGTCCTGCCTTTCGCTTCCTCAAGCTTTTTATCATTGGTAGAGATACTGCCCTCAGTGCCCTCAGCAATCCTCTCTTTGCACACCATGGATCACGCAATCATCGCAGCGAAAATGACGTACATCAAATACCACTCCGCTATCGTCCACAACTTCAATGATTCAGGTGAGTTCTCCATCAAAGACCTTCCGCTCATTGATGCCCCCAATACCAAAGGCAAGAAGTTCAAGGAGTTCTTCCACATCGTAGAGGGGGTTTCTGCTGCAGATTGCGATATCATCCGCAATGTCTACAACTCGGACCCGCCCAAGGTTAACGAGCTACCTGACTCAGTGCGTCCTCGTGATGCCCTTGGAGACTCCTGCGTATTGCAAATGGCCCTATATCCCCTGAGCAGGACGGCAAGTACACGGTACTCAAGTTCTTTCACTCCTCCGCTTTCATTCCTCTGGGACTTGCCAAAGCCTTCTGTGCACATAAGGTAAGGGTCATCAACTACCAGGTCGCGGACAACAACGATCACGTCAAGTGCGCTTTCCTCTACATGCTTAACCGCATCCAGGGAGAGCAATGGTTGACGCAATCATTGGTGAACAAGGTGTCTGCCAAAGCCATGAAGAAGGACGATTCGGGTGATGGGAAAAACTGGGAGCCCAGTGACAACGAGCTACGTGAGGGTATCGCCTTTATCAACGACTACGCGCCTCTGTCCAACACCAAGAACGAACAGTTCTTGTGGTGTCTACTCAATGTTCGCGACCGCGAGTCTCCCATCTATGGCTGGCCCCACCATGTTGTCAACAAAGCTTGCATCAATCGGTCCACGGGCAACTCACAAAGTGATCCAGAATATTTCTTTCCACTTCTACTACATGACTTGGACCAAAGCTTTTTGGAGAAGGTCGTGCCGCTGGTGATGCCCACTATGACTGGGCATGGGCTTATCCTTTTGGGCCGTGCAGGTGTTGGAAAAACGCCCACTGCCATCATCCTCGCGATGGCCGTCGCCCGCCACCTCGTGGTAACTCGTGGTCTTGATGGCCACATTCCTGGATTTAGAAGATCGAAGCAGATCGACGGATTCCGGGAAAGGCCTGGCGAGTTGCATGTACCGGTTCTCCTCGATGACCCCTTGTTGCACTCCATGAACATGGAGGATATCAAATCCTTTCTCGATGTGGCCGAGAACACCCTGGTGGATGCCCGGTATAGGGCCGCCAAGTTTGTCCGCAACCAAGTCCGCATTCTCCCCAACAATGAATGGGGGGCGGAGAAGGAGCCACGAATGACCATGGGCGACAAGATTGATTGGCAGGCCTTCCATGATATGTTCAGTCCTACTGTCAATAATGCTTCGCTTCCCCACCTCATGGCCATTCTGAAGCGGGCTTCGGTGGTCATTGCCGGTGAATTGGCCATTTATGTTCGCTTGGCAAGCGAGCAGCCGGACCAGGTCATACACCGGTTCGGTTCCTGTTCCATGCTGAAGGATTGGTTGAAGCCCAACAACAAGAAGTTCTACAACTTCTACAAGGAAGGCCAGCATGTGAAATTCCCCGGCTATGAGGAAGCTCTTGAAGCTGAGGCCAATTTGGTGAGCGAGTTACTTGCTTCTCCTTCCGAGAAGGAGTATTTGGCCAGGGGGCGGTCCCACGATCAGTGGGCTGAGGCTTATGGCGGGTCACTGACCACGCCAAGAGGCAACATGTCGACGGCGGCTACCACCAATAGTCCAGCGATTACATCACCCCCTGCCAAGCAACAGAGGGTCGAGCACGACGAGGATGCGGACGAAGAGGCCGCGGGTTACATGCACTCCTGCGACTGATTCAACTCTTATAGCGAGGTGAACCATTTTGACCACGCAGATCCTCTGACAAGGACCGTTAACGGATGCCCGTTGGAAAACCAGAGAGCCTGCATACACACATTCACACCCAGCATCTGCCTGCATTGAACTCTGTCTCACTTCATTAGACATCTGGTGTCAAGTTTTGAGATCTTTAGACTTTAGATCCATCATGCCGACGACGATCAAGCGTCCAGCGGCTGCCCTTCCGCCCGCCAGAGCTGTGTATAAAACACATCTCACACAATGCTTTTGCTCTTCGAACTCCGTCCTGAAGCCAGGTCACGAGATCAATGCCATCCTCTACGGCATGAGCGGAATGGAACGCATTATCGTGAAGAGCTTCCGCTGTTCCAGCTTCGGGTGCAGGAAAACGTACGGGCCAAATTTTGTTTGGGATCTCTCTCACAAGTACAACACTGCCACCCCCAAGGACATTGAAGAGATCGGGGCTTACTTTGTGGGGACGAAGATTGGCTTTACGGCGAACTACTTGAAGTACCATAGCTTCTTGGAGTTCCGCGCCTCTGTGTCTGCTATGGCAATTAAGCACACATACCAGCACACTTTCAACACCGCTCATGGAGAGCAGTCAAACTGGTTTGCAAAGATGCACGCCTCCGCCATTATGTCGTGGATAGCCGTCCAGGAACTATATCCACTACAGCTACATCTCAGCATCAAGATCGGCGACGAGGTCACGCCTCATGCTCTCCAAGCATACCATGAACACCTCCATCTCAAGGTCTTTCCACCGAAGCACAAGAATACAGTCAAAGAGCTTGTCGCTGATGGGCATCAGAAAGTCCACATCAAATGCGCAAACTCGCGCAAGCATGCAGGCAAACCTCCCAGCCATGGTCGCATAAAGCCGTTTGGCCATGGTTGGTTCATGTTGGTCCATCCTCGTGATCTTCGCATTCTGGCTGTCAGATCCATGTCTGTTCCGGAGAACAATGAGATCCTCTATAAGTCGCTCCTCGAAATCTTGCCTTTGTACAAGCACCTGGATGGCCTAATCATGGACCGTGCTTGTGGCTTCTTGCCCACAGCCAAGGCTGACAAGAACCTGAAACAAGTCAAATACTGGAGCATCGACGGCTTCCATGCCAAGGGCCACACCAAAGGATGTCCTTGCAACCCCATCTACAAGAAGAGGTTGGCCAAAAGGTTCAAGGGGGTAAACTCCTCGGCGTGTGAACAAGTCTTTTCGTGGTTTAGAGGGTACGCACGACTTCTCAACGAGAGTTCCCCTCTGCGCCATAGTTTCAAGGTGTTGTACTTTGTGAAGTTGCATAATTGTGCAGTGGAGCAGAAGCAGTCCATGTACCTGAATCGCTATGTTCGCTCCGGTAAGAAAGCCAAGCGACCTTACTCATGTGGCAAGAAGACAGTCGCTAAAAAGCGACCTGCAGCAGCCATGAGCTAAGCTCAGAGGTACACGTGTGTGCATCAGGCAGAGCAGTCGGGCAAAATCAGCCAGAATGCATTACTGTCGGCACCACCACTAGTTTTGAACTTGTTCTGTTTGCACTTTGCATGTCAGCGCATCCAAGGTATGCTTCGTCATCCTCGCAACTTGGAGTGTACTATACTTATTGTAATGATATTTCCAATAAACATATCCCTAATCCCTTCAAAAGTGGGTTTTCAAAAACCCAGGCCCCACAGCAACCTGCTCTCTCTCTCTATATATATATATATATATATACATGTATAGATATTTGTATAATTTCTTGAAAGCCTGGACGTGCTCAGGGAGATGGATTTGCTTACCACAGGCGCTTATACACAGGGACAGCCTCTCCCCAGAGGGTCTACAGGAAAAAATAACCTAAACGTGACAAAGGCGAGGGCCGTGTGTTTGAGAAAATCGTCAATGCTTAGACACAGTACTGCTGAGCTGGCCCGAAGCCACCCCCAAAGCTGTGGCAAATAATCATCAACTAATCGAGTTTGAGTGATGGACATAGGCATAGATATGCAAAAACCGAAAACTCAAACAAGCAGTTCTGTTTCTCCTGAAATCTACGCTTGTTTCAAGTGCCCCGGCTCGCATGTTAAGCCGACAAGTCCTAAACGAACACCAAAAGCTCGCCAAATCGAACCTGACACCCCAAAGCCGTTATCCAAACACTGCAAGCCCCCAGTAGAGCACAAAGCCATCCAAGTTTGGCTCTACCACCCTTTCTTTGGCAGAATTTGGCCTCTGATCGTGACCACATATCCCCAAACCTGCGGGGAAGAATCCCTAAAGCTCTATGCAAAGTTTCCGAGTACATTGTTATAATACGGATCCTACTAAATAGGGTACTATATTAGGGTCCCTATGCAAGCCAAGGGCATGCGACCCGAGGCCCTAAAGGCGCTGCATGAAAGAATTGATGTACTAGAATCCCTGTAGTTGAGACACAGACACAATAACGAACAGCCCGTTACGGTTGTAACCAAAATGGAAAGTAAGACCCCAAAACCCTTAGACACGAAATCTATTCAAAGAGGTGAATTTTGCAAGATGTGGGGCAGTCTTCGCCCCCTCCAAAGGTAAAGATCTTCTTCACCGAAGACCTTTGTGCGAAATTTCTTCAGGGTGTGAGGCTCAGCATTTAGAGGTTTAGGGCTTGGCGGGTTTAGGGGTTGAGTCAGATTGGGAAACTCCTGCGGTGAGAACGGGGGAGTTGTACTACTCCCAGCCCCCGGAGCGGCGTCCGAGTCTAGACTTACCTTGGGTTAGTAAGGAATGGAGGAATGGGTGCAATTATAACTACTATTACTACCATTCTTCCATTCCCTACTAACCAATTTTAAGTAGAGACTTGTGCTGACAAGGCCTCGGTCTAGACCGAACATAGGTGTGTCCTGACGGATAGTTGTCAAAATTATGGACCCTTTTGGGTACCCTAAAAATAAGTGCCGTATCATAATAAGGACCCAGAAAGAGACCTTAATTTTGACAACCACCCTCGATGTCACCCAGACCAAGGCGAACAAAGAGATCTTTGAGCCCCCTGCGCGTAGACCGCACTCATCCTTGGCTGGATCCGATTTTTTCGAAACTGTTTCCCTACAGGACTTCTGTAAGGGTTTCGGCACGGGATCCTATGATCGGGGGTGGATTTGTCCAGACTGTTTCCTACAAGGCTTCCTTAAGGACAGAGCTTCTTTAAGGGTTTCGACAGGGGATCCTACGATGGGGGGTTTAGGGTTTAGGGTTTTAGGGTCCTAAACCCTAAACCCTAAACCCAAAACCCTAGGGTGGAAGTACAGGTCTGAGGATGGTAGGGCATGGTGCTGTCAAGGTTGCTCCTGAGTATTTAGAAGAGGGCCAGGGCTTCAGGAGGGGGGTATGTGGGGGTTTCGGAAAATAGGGGACCCTACTACATATAGTACCCTGAATAATAGGATCCATACTATAAGGATCCCAAAGTAAGGTGCCCTAATTTTTGGAACCTCCCATGTTGGTATAATGCGAGGGTGTGGCCCGTATACTCACATCGAAGCTCGGGCTTCGCCAAACTTTGGCTAGAATGAAGTAATCAAGCTTCAAAGCATCATGTGTTGTGTGTGTACATACATATTGCAAGAGTTCTACACATAAAGGTGTAGAGAGTGCTGTCGGTATACACGGGCTAAAGAAAGAGGAACAGTCAAACAGGCTTAGATGTAAGGCCCCTGTCTGAACACCTAACCCTACTGCCACCCAAAACCGCAAACCAATCCCAAGCCTGAGCCCTGCACCCCAAGCCCACATCTCAAACCTGGAACCTTGAGACGCTCCCGGACCCCTGCTTGGAGGATCATGGGACTTAGTAAGTAAGGTTATAAGTACCTTAATTGGGGTTAGAAGTGTATAGTTACCCTAACTATAAGCCTAGTTACTAAGTCACATGATCCTTTAAGTAGGGACTCTCGTGAACCTGCAAGGCTTGAGATTTTCGGCCGAGCATCCATTGCCTCGATGATGGAGCACCGACGTTGGTGAACTGCCTGCATTCCGCCGGGGGGTTCTGGGCTCTTAAGGAACCAGGGAGAAAAAAGTGTAGACTTTAATTTCATAAAGGTTCCTTTAAGGAAAAAGCATTAAAGTATGGTACTTCAAAGCCCAGGGGCCCAGTTATAGGCTCTAGGGCTACCGGGATTGGGCTAGGGTTAGGATGCTTAGGCCGACCAATCTCAGAGTCGCATGTGGACCGACTTGGTTTTGCATGTTTAGCTCCTTTCCTCTTGTGCACCAATCTTCAGTTAGGGAATGTAGACGGGTAAAACAGAAGGACATGGAAACAGATGCGACAAGCCCCCGGCTTGGGACTCTCAATCCTACACCGGAGAATGCATGGACCTCCATTCTGCATCGTTTGCTGCGACCAGCCACCTTTCAGACTTTCAATACTTCGGGCTTGACAGCTTTACATTAGTTCGGGTTTGGGGCGTACGGGATCATGGTGTAATCGGGACTCTGGTCGTCTCGGCCTTAGCTGGGAGGTTCAGCGTCCAGGCATATGCTTGAGTATCATTAAGAAGAAGAATAGGACTATTAGAAAGCAATATCGGCAGAAGCCCACGAGGTCTGAGTGTTGGCTTTCTGCTGGACATCTCTGCACTTGGGGGGAAACATGAACTCTGGTCGTTGAGTTACACCCACGGCCCCTGCAAACCTTTGAATGCCAAACGGCTAGCAACACTCCAGTGCCCTACGATGCCCTACTTGACGCGCGCATACGCCTGCATGCCCTGACACATGATGAACTAGGGATCCATGCAGCGTGGATGCCTTTGTGGCCCTCCACCAACAAGGCGCTGTAAGAGTTTAGAGTTCCAAGATAAAACATATGCGGTTATTGGGCATGATGTTGGTGATGACGAGCGCTAAGACTCATGTTGCTTATTCCTTATCGTCATCATGACCACCTCCAGCATCCCACACCCATTGCTTCTATCATGGATAAGGCATGGGTGAGTATTGCCATAAGATGACAATT